TTTGGAAAAAAGCTTGATCTCACACTTTGATAAAAAAGTTGTGTTTATTCCATTAGCTCCAAAAAGTTTAGTCCCATCTATTGGTCTCTGCTCAATTATTGAGTAGGCTCTGATTGCTTGTCAGGACAGCCAGTCTTGGGCAAACCCTTTCCACAAAGATCAGAAGGGTCTCTTCTGGCAAAACAGGCATGAATTTTTCTCTCTGTGAAAACTTGCCCACTCATTGTTGTAGCTGAAGGGCCTAGCCAAGGATCTTTCTAACCAGGTATATCCTTGATTGCCAAGGATAAGGGCCCAAATAAGGGCCTGCCATGTCTGAGCTACCTTATCTTCTAGAAAGTATAAAGATCTGATGTCCTAAGCATTGGGAGAGAGTGAACACTTATTCCAGTTCTTCTCTGAGAAAGGCAGGGAATGCTGAGCCATTAATATATAATGATATAGTTTTTAAAGTTCACTAAAACTGGTTAAGTTTACTGTTTAACCATAGGTTCTCCATTCCATTTGTCATGACATTATGAAAAAATTTAATTTTTCACTAATAAAAAACAAAACCTAGAAATATCTGCATGCCATCCCATCAAGAGACCAACCACTACCTCACCCAATGTTTTACCACCCCAGTTGTTTTGAACTTTCTACTTCTATGTATGACTTCACAAAAATGGGATACCAGGCCTCATCAAGATGGTTACTTTGCTGGACAGTCTCTCTAGAGGGGGCCTGATTTAGCATCTACTATAAATTCTCAGGTGTTGCTGATGCTGTCGGTCAGGGAACCACACCTTAAGAATCACTGCTCTAACAACTTATAGGAATGTAGAAGAACCCATTAACACCATGAAAATGAATTTCTAAGAATCCAGACTCAGAAATATTTCTTCAACTGATAATTATTAAAAACAAGAACCTAGAGATTAAAGGAGACTTAATAATTGGCACAAAAAACAGAACCGTGAGAGCAGTCCAGTCAGAGTGCAAGTCTTGTCCTGGGCATGAAGTTGATGTCAACATCTACCAGATTCTGCCCTGGGCCTCGAAAGGCAATTACAGGCTGGAATTCAGGCCAGCATGCAGACTGTTCATCTCCGAATCATCAAAAGAAAAGACTGCCTATATCAGCTCAGGGGAGTTGATAAAATATCAGGGGAACTCTTTGCTCAGGCATCAGCATAATATCCTGGCATTGCTGAGGAGAGCTGACAGATTCCAGCTTCTACTTGTGATCTGGTTCCAGATGACACTGGGCATAGTGCTTTCACTGACATTTGCTTCATAGATCAGGGTGATACTTTTGACTTTAATCTCCCTATGCAAAATCTCTTCAAATGGGTAAGCATGTTACGGAGATGTTAGAGTCTATGGAAATGGACACTCATTCCAAGATGGATTTAGGCTACTGGGATGGAGAGATCACAAAATTGAGTAATGGGAACATTACAACCAAGAGATGATGTGTTTCTAAACCCAGGACTGCAAGGGCCTAAAGCCTAAATGAGGATTATTCCCATCCCCACTTGCAGGCAGTCACACTATTCCCTCTCTATCTCCCAAGGTTGCCATCATTATGTCTCCCCACCACCATTCCAAATTTAACTATGAAGACAGTGATGCAAATTTCCTTGTAAGGTGGGATTCTCCCACCCCTGACATGACACCAATACCTGTCTCTGAGCAATGCTTTTGGGGACTTTGGCAGGCTGTTCCAAACATGGTATCACAAGCATCCAACTGAGTCCAGGATTGGATACCATAGGCAGAGCTTCAAGGACAGACTTGAAGAATAAAAATGATCTTGAGAACTTGGGGAAGAAAATCCCACTTTTGAGGAAGAAAATGAAAGAAAAAAAAATTGGAGGTGTTGCAAAACTACTCAAAAAAAAAAAAGAGACTTTTTCCTAAGGAATTACAATGTATGTCATAATAGCTCATTCAGTGAAATAAGTCACAATGAAATAAATATTCAATGAAATAACTCACCTTTGGATGACTGGGCAAAGTACAAATTGAAGATATCTTCTTGATTTGAAAGGACCCAGGGAAGTTTGCTAAGATTAAAGACTAGTTTACTCTGAAGAACTGAAACAAGCTAAAGCAGCATTTGATGAAGCCTAGTTTTGATCTTGACACCTTTTGCAATTTCTGAAACTTCAGTATCTTCTGGGGCAACCATACATAGCAACTTAATAGTTTCTACAGGAAGCTTATCTAAACATGTAAATGAAAGATGGAAGAACACAAATTTTTCATGTCTTTGATTTTAGAGTGATATTTGAGGTTTTATATCTCAAATATTGCCTTTATATTATTATACAATTAGTTCGTGGATTTTAATGACTACACAAATGTTAAGGTATCTTGGAAGTGATGCTGTCCCATCTGACTTTTGACTAAGTTTCTAAGTGAACTGGTTTGTTATTTGTAAGTAGATGATAAAGGCATATAATCATGTGTCTATGTCCAAAAAGACATTTTAATATTTTCTTCAGATAAATGATTTTTTTTTTTGAAGAAACTAAACTTCATGTGATTGCAATGTTGGGAAGCTTTTTTGATTTAAAAACGTTGAGGCTTATACATAAACCAGCTTGCATGCACTGGGGAAGAAAATGTCCTGTAATCTTAGTTCTGGGGCATGAAAGCGGTTTCCAACTTCTCAAAGATTTTTGCCCCAGTGCATGACAGCTGGTTTGTCACTCCTCTTTGTTAGTACTTGCTGTGTAGCCAAGAGAGTACCCATCATCTCTTGCCCATCAAACAAGGTGAGAATATTGTGTCTTATCAAACTGTGGCAATTGTGAAGGATTCAGGTAAGGGAGAAATTACCTTTAACATTTGTGAAATTCTTCTTTTACATTCCTCAACTTATTTCAGTCACCTCATGACCCTCATGTGCCTTTGTAAAGTTCTTTTTAGCAACTTCAGGGGACAAAAAAACTTTGCCACTTCCTTCTCCAATGAGGTAATTCTCAGAAAATAAACTGGCCTCAGTGTTTATAAATCCAGAATTTTGATGGGAATAGGGGCGGAGAAGGTCATCTTTCCTGGTCACTGTTCTATACGCTTCTTCACCACATCCAGTGCTCTAGTCATACACCTCCATCACATTTCTTCCTCTGATAAGAGGGTTGTGTTGGTGGCATCACTGTTATTCTTTCCTGTTTGCTGAAAACCTTAACATCTTTGGGTGTAGCTTGGATGAAGGAAGTACATGGGGCTATTTTGTTATATTCTAGGGAATTGTTTGTTTTCTCACAGCTCCATCTAGTTGCTGCATTTGAAGCAAAGCTTTATGTAACATTAGTCCCATTTTTTAACCTATAGTCAAAGGGTTTAGAATTTTTAATGTAAAAATTCTAAAAATTCTCCAGATAGACCAGGGAGATTGAAAGCACTTAACTTGTTCAGCAGTCATGCTGCTTTGCTGCCTAGGTCTACAACCACCCCTCCAACTTTTTTTTTTCTTTTCTTGTAGCTTTTCTGCCGTAATTTGTTAACATCTATCATTTGTAAACCAACAGGTTTTCCAAAGTGAAGGGTTTGATGTCCACTGCCTAGAATATATGTAACGCAGGCTGCTTTCCCTTCTTTCCTTTCCCTCTGCCCTCCCTTTCTGGATACAAAGCTGCTAAAAGAGCTCTTCTTCTCAAGTGGTTGGGCACTATCTAATGATTTGTTAATGAGCAGGAAAAAAGAGGATATAATTTCTTTCCTAAGCACCTGTTTGGATGCTGTTAGGGTTTGAGTATTTGTTTCACTAAAAAATTCTTATGTTGAAATGCCCAATGTGATAGTATTTGAAAGTAGGGCCTTTGCCAACAGGCATATGGAAAAATGTTCAACATCACTTGTAATCAGGGAAATGCAAATCAAAACTACCATGAGATACCATCTTACACCAGTGAGAATGGCACATATTAAAAAAACTAGCAACAACAAATGTTGGTGAGGTTGTGGAGAAAAAGGAACTCTCCTGCACTGTTGGTGGGAGTGCAAACTGGTCCAACCACTATGGAGAGCTGTGTGGAGATTTCTTGACCTACTAAACATAGAGCTTCCATATGATCCAGCAATTCCACTCCTAGGTATTTACCCAAAGGACACAGAAACATCAATTCCAAAGAACACCTGCACCCCTATGTTTATAGCAGCACTGTTTACAATAGCTAAGCTTGGAAACAACCCAAATGCCCAAAAATAGATGACTGGATCAAGAAGATGTGGTACATATATACCATGGAATATTACTCCGCATTCAAAAAAGATAAACACATGCAATTTGCAGCAATGGATGGCACTGGAAGGGATCATGCTCAGTGAAATAAGCCAGAAAGAAAAAGAAAAATACCGGATGGTCTCATTCATAGCAGGAATCTAGAAAACTTAAATAAGGGATCAGGAAAATGAATAACTATAAGAAAGTGAAAATCAAAATCAACAAAAAACTGAACCAGAGACACTTTTTGGGGGTAGGGGGCGGGAGGGGAGGGATTGGGGTCAGAAAGGGGGGGTTGCAAATGTATGGGGAATATAAAAATAAAATTTATTATAAATAAAAAAAAAAGTCGGAGCCAAATAAAAAAATTATATGCATGCAATTCAGAAAAAAAAAAAGAAAAAGAAAAAGAAAAAGAAAAAAAAAAAAAAGAAAGTAGGGCCTTTGACAGATGATGGGTGATAGTTGCGAAGCCCTCAGGTACAGAATTAGTACCTTGTAAGAGGTGAGAGTGCTAGCTTACTCTGCCATATGATAAGAAAAGTCAGTTGCCTGCAAACAAGAGAGTACCCTCTACAGCACCCAACCCTGCCTGCAGGCTGATCTCAAGACTTTCAGCTTCTATGGGGCCTCCCTGGTGGTGCAGGGGTTGAAGACACAGTGCTATCAAGCTATCGCCAGCCACTGCAGCATGACTTCGAACCCCAGCTAGCCAGAGAGAACTCACATGGCACAGCAGACTTCTCCTGTCTCGCCCACTGCTCCCCTCGGCAGTGTATTTTCAGTGGATCTGCCTGTTCTGCTCCCCACTCTCTCTGGTGAATCCTCTCATCCCTCCACCCCACACTTCTGATCTATACTCCAGTTCTTGTATGCATAAATAAATCTTTTTTTAAAAAAGAATTTCAGCCTCTAGAACCTTTAGGAAAAAAATTCTGTCATTGATAAACTACTCAGCTTACAGTACTTTGTTTTAGCTGCCTGAACTAAGACAGGTTCTTAACCCTCTGAAGGAAATCCTTATAGTTTCAAAAATATTCTTCTTGATTTCTATCTTTCATCTCTTCCTAACTTTGGGTTTTGGTTTCTTTCCCCACTGTACTCCCACTTTGGCAGCTCTATTCCCGCAGAGCTATGACAGGATGTTAATGCTTTATTTTTTTTTTTTTAAGATTTATTTATGTATACAAGAACTGGAGTATAGGCCAGAGGTGGGGGTGGTGGGGGTGGTGAAAGGATTCACCAGAGACTTAGTAGAGAACAGAACAGGCAGATTGACTGAAATACACTGCTGAGGGGAGCAGTAGGCGAGCCAGGAGAGGTTTGCTGCACCCTGTGGGCAGCACCCTGGCTGGGGATTGAACTCATGCTGCAGTGGCTGCGGATAGCCTCATAGGCTGTGCCCCAACTCCTTGTACCACCAGGGAGGCCCAAGTTAATGTTTTAAATGGAAAACACTAAAAAGAAAATCTCTACAATCACTAATGACTAAGTACTGGAAACCTATGTTCTCAATCTTCCAACATGTTGTGTTCTTTTGTAATCTCAAGATAATACATTATATATTTAAATTTCTGACACACTGAAAATAAAGTTTAAGGCATATGTATATGTTGTACTGGTACAATATGTTGCACTGGTCCAATCAATAATGGTAATTTAGAATAGGGGACTCAAGATAGTTACTTGGATTATATTGTCTTTTTCTTACCCAATCTTACCCAAAATATACATATTGTAAAAGAAATCAAAGCAAAACACTCATGAGACAACCAGGGAAATTTGAACACTGTTATTTGATTGTTTCTCTAGGGGTGTAGTTTTCTTTTATTCAGAGTGAGCTTTTAGGAATATTAAAATACTTTTGGATGAAATAAGGTGATGACTAAAATTTGCTTTAAAATAATCTGGGCGAGAAAAGAACGAAGGGAGTAGATGGGAAAAAAAAAAAACAAGCCGAGTCATGAATGATAAATTTGGCATGAGGTCAATGGGTACATGGCAATTCATTGCATCCTATTCTTCATTCATGTTAAAATTTCCCACAAAGAGTAACAAAACACAGACCAACAGATATATTTACTCTGACAGCAGTTTTTTGAGACAAGTCCAAGTCTCACCCTCAAACTACTCAGCCTCCTGGAGAGGAATGGAGGCCAGTGTCCCAAGCCGCCCCTCTGAGGACCTCAGCAGTAGCAGCCAGCTGCCTAAGAGCAGCAGTGACTGTTTCATGTAGCACACGTGGCAGATGGAGGGAGGCTGGGTGAACGGACATCCTTCTCAAGATATATAAGAGAAGGCTACACAGAGCATTAACACCCAGAGGGGAGCAGAAGGGACCACTCACCCTCAAATCCTGTGTTCCTCAGTCGCCCTGAACCTAACTTGACAGGAGACAAGATATTTGGTGTTTTGAAGCTTCCCTAGTCAGGTACCTAGAGCATGGAGCAAACATGCCCTGGCTCACATTCAGTCCCAAAGCTGAGCAGCGTACAATCTTGTCTCTGGAAAATCTTGCACATTTCCTAGGATTAGCAGCAGTGACTCAGATCTCTGTGTTGCCCCATTCCTATGTCCCACTGTGGGGTAGCACAGACATTAGGAATCAAGTAGGTAAATCCAAACCTTTAACTCTCCCTCAACCTTGGCCTATTGAAACAAGAGGAAACAGTGCCTACCTAGTAGAAGATGAAGTGGTAACCACCACAAAGACAAGTCGAAAGCTGGAAACTAAGAACTGCTTAGCTTTGGGGACCCAAAATAAGGTTATTTGTGTTATTAGTGTATGCTTTGGGAATGTGGCTGCCCATATTCATTTTCTTTTAATTTGGTTGTTATCAGCCTCTCCCAGGTATTTACCTTCCTTCCTGAGAAGCTGTGTCCAGCACACGATCTCGTTTAATCTTCCCCTTAAAATTACATAAGGAATACCACCTAAGGAAGGTGTTATTAGCCTGATAATAGATACAAAAACTGTGATCAAGAGGTTAAGTGACTTCTCCAAGTTCACATAGCTTATCAGTGGAAGAGTTGAGATCTGAGCCCTATTTTTACTTCATAAAATTGTCTCCATGTTGGGAAAGGTGATGTTAGCCATGAGACTCTCCTCTGAAGAGTTGTTAGGGGATAAAATTTAAATTGTTCATACCCTGCCCCTACCAACTGCCAGTCAGTCGCCAGTCTGCTTGGTTTTCATGTTCAACTGGAAGTTCTGAATTTAGATGGATCAAAGGAGGTTGTTCCCCTACTATGCTCCATTCTTGGTATACAGAGTATTTCATTAGGACACGCTTCCTTTCATCACATCCCAATTTTCAGAAATCTTGGGTTTCATGAGCAGTTCCCATTGTCATCTATGTGCAGTGATGCTCTATCAGCTGTGTTATCCCCTGAACACCCAACTTCCACAATGTAGCACCAAGACACAGTAGTGTGTGTACACATTCTGCGCACTCTCCTTTCATGCCACTAAGGCCATTTCTGTTCCCTCTATTGCACCAAAACTACTCTGGCCAGCTCACTGATTCTCAGATGCCGCTTTCTAGAAACCAGCTCACCTGACCCCAGTTATATCAGAGGCTGAAGACTACTTCTCCTGAATTTCTTTCCTCTTTCTCTTGGGGGTCTTTATTCCAATACCTCCTTCAGGCTCTGCTATGCCCTCCCCCTGCCCTATATACTCTCTTCAGGTGACCCGCAACCACACCTGACTCTCAGGTGCTTGCTCCAGCTGCTTCCTCTGCCTGACCAAGTCCTGTGGGCCAGTGCCTTCCATCTGCCTCACTGCTTCAGCACTCAGATGCCACACCATGCTGCAGAGCATGGGATCTGGCCTTTCCATTGGCCACACAATACTATCCTCTCAAGTAAGGGGGAAACAAACACCCCACAGGGAAAACTAGGAGCAATATAGGATGGGAGACAGGAGGAAAAGTAGGTGAATTTGTTCTCTTATCACTCCCTCAAATCCAACATAATGTTCCAGTAGGCATCATATCTATCTAGTTATCACTGTCTTTGTGAAACAGTTGCCAACTCATTAAAACAAATCTTGTTTCCCTTTCCTGAGTAGCTTCCCTTCTTCCTTTCCATCACTGTCACTGATCTGGAATTGCATCTGCCAGTAAAGCTCTAGCACGTAAGCTCTGCCTCAGGTTCAGTTTTTTAAGTAAACTGAATTAAGACAAAATCTCATCTAAACCGTGACTTCAATGACCACTCACACAACTCCAAACTTTCTAATCCTGACTTCTCTGCTGAGCTCCAGACCCCACTGGAGCTAACTATCAATGGACATCTCCAAATGAACATTCTCACCAGCACCTCAAACTCATATCTAAAATCAAACTCACAGTACACTCTCCAAAATATGTGCCCTTCTCCTGTGCTCTGGGGTACAGAGAGAGGGAAGTGACCTAAAGGAATTCTCAGTGTGTCTGAAATGGGAAAAAGATGGGTTAACCAACAATACAATAGAATAACATGCTTACTAGCATAAGGCAGTGTCACAAGAGTGTGTGCTAAAGAAAAGAAAGCCTGCCATGCACCAGGCAAAGTGCTTGAGGTTTCCAGCATGATCTAGCCTTCATCACAACCCTCCAAGGTGTCATTATTCCCACTGTGCAGTTGAGAAAGCAGACTGGAAATCAGAGACCAAGTCAAGATCACAAAGCAACTAAAATCCAAGTACATATAGAAGATTCACATTCTTTGCTGATTCCAGAAGCAGAGCAGCTAATAGGCAGCAGGGATTGGTGATTTCCTGAGGTGACAATGCCACAGCTGTCTTAATAAATGAAGAGGATGCCAGTTGAAGAATGGGGTGGAGTAGGAGCAGAATAATAAAATGAAGGGAAGGAGGCAGCTGGCATAGGCCTGAAAGAGCACAGGGTGGCAAAGAAACTGAAGGGGTTCACCAAGGCTGCACCCAAATCACAGATGGCCTTGTGTGCCATTCTAGTTAATTTTTTTTAAAGATTTATTTAATTATGCATACAAGGACCGGGGTACAGGCCAGAGGTGCGGAGGGTGAGAGGATTCACCAGAGACAGAGTGGGGAGCACAACAGGCAGACTGACTGAAATACACTGCTGAGGGGAGCAGCAGGCAAGACAGGAGAGGTCTGCTGTGCCATGAGGGTAGCTCCCTGGCTGGGGATCTAACGCGTGCTGCAGTGGCTGCGGATAGCTTTGCAGTGCTATGCTTAACCCCTTGCACCACCAGGGACACCTTCTAGTTAATTTTAAATTCTAGTTGGAAGGATCAATTCAGAATTTCAAGTAAGAAGTGACATGATCCTGTTTGTATTTTGGAAAAGACCCTCTGTCATCCATGAGAATTTGTTGAGAGAGGTAAACAAGTGAGAGTAACCATTTTAAAGATTGCTTAAGTACCCACAGCAAGAAATTATACACAAAATTAGCATCAGAGGGCATGGGAAAATGTGAACATATCTCTGACAATAGTGAAGGAAATGTTGAATAAGACTGGGGAACTGAATTAGTTAAGGAAAGTGAAGAAGGTGTCAAACATCCATTATTTGAGTTCATCAAACCCAGGACACGGAGGAGATGATTTTTGTTTTAGACTTGACTTTGAAAAAAGATACCAATAGGCAACTGGATGAATGAATCTGGCATTCTGGAGAGCAGTGGTTCACATGGTAGTGATATCAGACCAGTCTCCAAACACTGGCCCGAAGAGATATGAAAGATGCGGGAAGTAGAGGTGGGACTGGCAGAGGTTACACACTCCCTCCCTTCCTAATTCCAGACACAAGTCAGGTGTCACATCCTCAGTCTAGTCCTTTCCCTTTTGTTCAGGGTAATTTACTGGACATAAAACCAAGGGAACAGCATTCTACTGGACATTAGAGAGGGGGGCCCAAATTCGGCACAGCCAAAGTCTCAGCATTCCTTTTCCTTCGCTGTTCTGCACTGAATGGACAAAGCACCATTCCCAAACCACACAGAAAGCATGGAAGCACAAGTTGCTTTAATCAGGGGGTGAAGTCCTCAATCGGGGGACTTCACTCAGCCTTTGGTGGTGGTGTCTCAGCCTACCTTTCACATGCTCTGAGGCCCCTAGAAAACTCCTTCCTCAGGAAGGAGGGAGCAGCTGAACAGCAAATTCAGGCCAAGGGAAACCCATGTCAAGGGTGGGTAGGGGCAGGGCACTGATGGGTGGGAGTGAAGCTGAACAGGGCAGCTTTACATACACAGTTCTACCTGGGGGCTGGCTGAGGTGGCTGTGCATCAAGCAGAGTGGCATCAAGAGGCTAAGGGTAGGAGGGGACAGGGGAAGGAGCACTTAGGAGATGAGGCGACCATGAAGCTGATGCAGCTGTTCCTGGGTCAGCACCAGCCGATGTCGCTGTCCAAGGCCAGCCGCACATGTGAAGGTCACTTTGCCCATGTAGACAGTGTCATCCTGCTGCTCCTCCTTGGCCTAGGAGTCGGCAAGGGAAAGAGGTCCTCAGATCAGGAACTCACTCGAGCTGTGTGCCACTGACTGAATCCTGAGACCAAGGTAGCCCAGTACCTGGGACACAGGATTTGGGACTCCCAGGCTACGGTGACCACATTGCCCAAATCAGAACTGTGGCACACAGACTGACAAGGGAATTTGGAGCCCCTGTTGGTGCCAAACGTCACAGAAGGTATATAATTGCTAAAACTGTGGAACTTCTTGAGGCAGTACAAGTACACTTGAATTACTTGTAAGACTTGGCCAGATAACTCAGTAGGTGCAGGAACTAGAGCTGAGACCCCAGAGGTCTCTTTAAATTCTGGGGGTGGAGGAGAGAGGCAGGGAAGGACCCTCCTATGCCCACCATATTACCCCATCTTTCTCCCCATGTTCCCTCTTACCCTGAGGAAGGCTGATGAAGGGAAAGTGGCAAAGTCACTGGGGACCATGGCTCCAGGGCACTGAGACACAGTCTCCCTGAGGACTTCATCCTGGTGGAAAAAGGGAACAAGCGTTCATTTTAGGGACCTGCATAGGCTAGTCCAATACCTCAATGATCTCACAGGCTCACTAATACCAGGGGTACAGGAACCCCGTCCTCTCTATCACTATACTCTGGCTCTCACCTCCAACCACATCCCCACCCTGACATTGTTAATTTACAGATACTTATCCTTCAAAGATAATTCAAATTCTATGGTCTCTAAAAAGTCATCCCAACCATTCTACCCCGATGGGGATCTCAAGCTGCACTCAAACAAAATGCTCTAAAGAGGATCCTATACAACCCATTTTGTTGATGAGAAACAACAAACAACAACACTCTGCTGGGTGAGAAAGGGCAGGGTCTGAGTTGACCTTGAGCTTCTCAATGGTATCACTTAGGGACTTGAGTTGAGCCACTTGCTCCAGGAGCTGGGCCGACGGGCTCTTGGCAGCTGTGGGGAAGAAAGACAAGGTGAGGCCCATCAAGTCCCAGGCAGGCAGCTATACTAGAGTAAGAGTTAAGAGTGCAGGTATGACAGGGACGCTCTCATATAGCATGCACATAAGAGTGTGAGTGAATCAAACCAAGTGAAGGGGTTAGGGGGAATGTAGTATTCATTTCAGGGTTGAGAGTCCATACCAGGGCTGGTGCGAGTGATATCGACTACGCGGGTATGCGTGCTCAGCTGATTCAACGTCTCTAGCAGTTGGCTGGTCTTACGATACAGTGCTCCAGCTGCTAGTTCACTGTCAGGACCCTCACGGGGTGGGAGGGAGAGCTTTGAAACATGCAAAGGAGGCAGGGCTGCTAAGGACGCCTTCATCTGGGCTCCCTGTGGGAGCAAAAAAAGAGGGGTAGAGGTAAGCGGTGTTAGAAGGTTCCTGCCATGTGTCATCAATGGAGCAGGTATGTTCTGTCCCCAATCCAGTCTGCCCTGTGACCGTCTCACCTTGAGTATGCTGTTCTCATGCTGGAGCTGGGAGATGTGCAACCTCATGGCAGAGATTTGCTGAAGTAGCAGTGGTGAGTCCTTCACCAGCCCAGGCCCTGACATGGACCCTGGAGCCTGTCCAGGGGCACCACCTGCAGGTACCACAAATAATGCCGTCAGCCCCGTGTGGAGAGAGTTGAAGGAGACTCCGTCCCTGCTCAGCTTCTTTCCTCATCCTCTCCCACCTCCAGCCCTGGTTGCTCCCAAGGATTATGTCTCACCCTATTCTCCCAAAACCAATTCCTACCAGCCCTGGTAACCCCTGGCCAGGTTGGGTATCTACCTCGTTGCTGCTCTTCTGTGCTCAAGATAGCCCGTGGGGTAGCAGGAAAAGAGGAGAGAGGAATTAGATAATTTGGGGGTTAGGAGACACACCAGAGGACATGATTCTTCCTGATCACTGTACCTTCTCTAAGAAGAACCTGCCTCTGCTCTCTACTTTGGGAAAGAGCAAATATGTATTAAAGAAAAATAGGAAAAGGGATAAGGCCATGAGACAGGCCATAAAGAATGTGAGGAAAAGCAGTGGTGTGTGCTGGAGGAAGTACTTGGGGCATGAAACCATTCTTGACCCCCTGCCTCATTCTCCATTTCCAAGAAGGGCTGGGGAATGCTCCAGAGACTCTCTTATGTATGTAAACTTAGTGTTACCCAGCAGCAAAGCTTAAGTTGAGAAAACAGATTCATTCCAGTTCTCCTCAAATCCCACCATAACTCTTGAGGCAAAATACACCATTTTCTGGTAGGAATTTTCATAAATTCAGAACGAGTGTTTGTTTAAAAAGCCTGTGTTAAAACAGTGCAACATGGTAATTCTGGAGGCCCCACCCCTAAATAGGAGTATTCTAGAATCTAAAGTCAAGAAGGTACTTGGTCTTGTGGGTACCAGTGACAGGGGCTTTGATAAAAGCAAGTCCACTGGTAAGGCCTGGTGACAAGACAGAGGGGAGGTCTAGGGATCCTGAGGGTCTAGTTCCAGGGTAAGAAGATTATCATTGGAAGGTGAGAAGGGTAAGTAAGAAACTGAAAACAAACAACAAACTATAGGACTGATGAGATCCAAGATGGTAGCAGCTACCTCTTCAGTCAGGAAACTAGGAGGACTGGGCCTGGAAGCCAGGAAAACTCCACAAAAGGAGTCCTGGAGACACTAAGAGATCAGGCAAAGGTCAGAAGACAAGTCACAAGAGAAATTAGGAAAATTTAACAATGGAGGAGATAACTACATGACAGGGTAAAGTCACATAACAAAATGCAGTACCCAACCAGAGGAAAAATCCAGAGCAGGCATTAGGCATGACTGTTAGCCCAGCTGCTGCAGGCTGAAGACTCCCTTGGAAGGAGGGCAGGACAGAGAGATCAGACTGCAGACCTAGAAGGGACATCTACTAGAATTCAACTACTGCATTAATTTTGAGCTTTTCTTACAATTTGGTAGTACCCTACCTGGGTCAGGTGAAAGGAACTCTGCATATATCTTTGGGTGATTAAAAACTTGGTGACAGCTGCCCCAGAGAAACCAGAAAGCACATTCCTAGGTAAACACTCAGGGGCAGGAGGGGAACAGGTATCTAACTGGGGTCAAGAACAAGAAAGAGGATATTCAATCTCCTCTGCGTTGGTGCTGCCTATCACTGAACTCACCACCAGCAATGCCAGAGACCAAGGTTGCAATGCCCGATGCGGGGGCTCCCCGGATCCCCTCGATTGTACGTTTGGACTGGTTATTCAGTCGCTGCTTCAGCTCTGCTTTCTCTGCCTCTAGCTGGTCAATGTCAGCCTGGAGTGCATCCATCGTCTCCTCAAACTCTCTGGGAATGAGAATCTGGGCTTGAGCTGTGTCCCTCCCCCACAGCCTGACCCCCACTTCTCAGTCATGACATGGGCTTGGAATAGCCCTGCTAGTGAGAAGCGAGAGTAGGTAGAGGATTACGGAGCAGTAACACAATGGGGTTGGCAATTGGTTCCCCTGGGGAGAGTCTCACTATGAGAAGGTTGGGAGAGGGGAAAGGGGCTGGAGGCAGAGGGCTGCTGGCAGGAGGGAGGGTTGGAGTAGGCAGTGAGGTCAGGGGAGGTGCCTGACTTCTCCTTCTTGCGCAGCAGTGCTTGGGTCTCCTCTAGCCGAGTCTGGACTTTCTCAATGCGCTCATCTGCATCCTTGGCAGCACTGTCCAGCTTCTTCTCCAGGAGGCTCAGTCGCACATTGGCTTCACTCAGCTCCTCCCCCTAATGAGGGCAGAGAGCTTCTAATTTCCTTACATCCTTCCATGGCCCCCAGGTCCCTGGGATAGACCATGAGATAGAAAGCTCCCTAAAAGGGTCCTCCCTGGTGGCGCAGCGGTTGAGCGCTGGGTTGCGAAGCTGCCCGCAGCCTCTGCGGCGCCGGTTCGATCCCCGGCTGCTCCCCGGCCACCAGAGGAGGGTCCCACATGGTGCGCAGACCTCTCCTGCCACCCACTGCTCCCCTCAGCAGTGTACTTCGGTCCTTCTGCCTGCTCTGCTCCCCACTCTGGCTCTGGTGAATTCTCTCACCCTCCCGCACTTCTGACTGTACCCAGTGCATGTATAAACAAAACAAACAAACAAATAAATAAAAACATGCCTCCATTAAAAAAAAAAAAAAAAGAAAGCTCCCTAAGGGCCCACAGAGCTCCCACTGATCACAGACTCCAATTCTCCCCTCAATCCCAGGCCTGTCTCAGTCCCAACTCTCAACACTCACCACTATTCTGTGTCCAACAGTACCTCCTGGCCTCCCATATCCCGAGTCTACTCTACCCTCACCTTGATCTTGAGTGACTTCTTCAACTCTTTGATAACTGTCTCTCGATCTTCCAGCTTCAAGCCCAGGCCTTCAGCATCTGTGATCTCTGCACGCAAGGCTGCAGCCCGCAGTTCCACTGGAGGAGGCTAAGGGTCCAGGTGAGGGCAGAAGGCAGAGGTGGGAAAGCAAATCACCAATGTGTTCTTTTCAGAGACAGCTAGTCATAGGGAAAATCTTGCCTTCTATGCAAGAAAGTGCTCCTCAGGCTGTTTTCCCAGCGCTCCCACAATTAGCAGCAGCTCTGCAAGTCCTGTTCCTACAGACTCCTGCTCTCCAAGGAGCTCCCCACCCACCTTGCTGGGGGGCCGCTCTGCATCATACTCTCCCTCCTGCATGGCTGTGGCCAACTTGTTCATGGTACTGATGAGGATGTTGCATGACTGGCGTAGACACTCATAGGGGCTGCTAGAGGGGGTCCCATAGATCTGCAGGAGCCAGAGGCAAGAGTTAAAACCCCACACTGGTCACCTGACTCCCCCACCTTCTGCCCAGTTATCCAGGACTCACCTGCTCGCTTGCTTTGAAAGCCAGCTCCTCCAGGGCAGCCACAGGCAACCCTTCATTCTCTGCCAGTGGGGCAATGAGCTGAGCAGCAGCAGCTGCTACCTCCTGTAGCACAGCCACCACCCACGTCAAGTGTTTCCTGCAGTCGAGGAGTGTGTCGGATACCTGCAACAGGCCAGTGTCAGGAGCCCAACCTGGGTCCAGGAGCACACCCTGGGTCCAGTACCACAGTTCACCCACCTCAAAACCATTCTAGTCCCCTAACCAGATCTAGATCTTGACACGCAAGGTCACTCCTGACTCTACTCAGCTTCCTTCCCTTCCCCCCTCACAGCCTTAAACCTGTGGTCCAAATGCCAGTGCAGCTGGGATCCCAGGAGCATCTGTCCCTGGCATTCGCCTTCGGATCTTCTTGCAAAACTGGCGGATGTCACTACAAGATGTTTCCAGATCTCGGAGCAGCAGGGCAATATCTGAAGCCTCCTGCCCACCCTGATCAGGGAATAGGAAAGGGATAGGGAACCAAGTAATCATTAAAGCTGGAGGTGAGGAGATGGAGACTAAGGAGGGAGAGAAACTCAAACAGATCTAGTTGTGTGCTCACCTGCAAGAAGGCACGCAGCCTCCCCACCTCTACACTCATGCAGTCCAGGGCGCTCTGGGTAAACTGTGAGGACAGAAGCATGATTGTCAGATCCCAATAGAAACCCTTCCACCCATCATCATCTCTAAGAAATCTCCACCCTCTGCTGATTGCCAACATGAATTCATTCTCTGGCCTCCATGATTTGGCTTTAATGACCCTGTTGCTGTCATGTGAAGGGTCTCATCTCTTGATCTGATGATGCCCATTTCTGATCTCCATAGGGGGCTCAATCACTGGCACATAAACTTCACCTTAATATGGTCAGCCAGTTGCATGGTACTGTCCTCAGGCTGTTCGGCAAGGTGGATGCTGTACAGATGCTGAGGAGGAATGACAAAGAAACACAGGGTCTTTAGGTATTAGAAGAGTTAGTTCTTCTAAAACTGCAATTTAAGACCTGGCCATCATGGGACAAGACACTCCAAAACCCCCAAGAGTTCGCTTCCTCAGGCAAGTTCACCTAAGAACAAGGGAAACCTCAGCAGCCAGTCTGCGACAAATGGCATTTGCCATTTTGCCAGTAACTCCCAGCAGAAGAAACCTTCCCTCCCTCACATGCCAAACGTGAATTCTCGCACCAGACCTGGTAGTACTTGATGGCCTTGGTGAGAGGCTCTACATTGACAGTCTCATCCAGCTGATCCTTGTGCAGCAGCTCAATGAGAAAATCCAAGGAGCGCTCGTGGGCACTCATCTCAGGGTAGAGGCTGCCCACCTTCTTATACACATCCACATTGCACTGAGAGAGGGCACTAGAGACCAGAGAAGGGCCCTGTGAGGCAAGGGTCTTTCAGGTGATTTCAGTTCCACTCAATCTCAAACCTGTGGCCCTGAATTGGGGAGTCAGGGGTCACTTACTGCTCATAGCGGTGGAGTGTGGCCTGCAGCAGACTTAGCGAGTACACCAACCCAGCAGCAAAGCTGAGCTGCTCCCCTGCAGCTCCTCGCAGCCCAGGTCGCTCTGAACAGTTCTCACTTAATTCAAACTTCTCCTGAGCCTGCTTTCGGATCAGCTCTGCCTATGGGAAGAAGCACCAGGGACCTGGGACTCAGAAGATGAAGAACTCAGACTCAGGAATACGGTACAAGGAGCTGAGCAAGTTCATGGGGTCATGGACACACATGGGGGAAGAGAGCAGAAAGAGTGCTTAGATGGGCAGAGTCTCACATGGGGAAAGGCCAATAATATGATTACTAACAGCTATAAGGCTTTAGGAGCTCCTGCTACCTTTCACCTAGAATGCCATCCTGCCCGTTTCCACCCCCCTCCCCAACTCAATACCCTCCCATTAACTCCTAGATATCTTCTGGGTTTCAGTTAAAATATTATTCTCTCAATGATAGCCCTCCATCTAAAGCATATCCCCAGCTGTGTTATCTCAAAGAAACACAAGCAGTCAGCTTGGGCATACAACCTTAGCCACTACGCTGGCAACAGCCACTTCATCATCATACCATTTGTAATATACAACCATCTGCAATTTTATTAACTGCATTCCTCCACTACACGGTAAACTCTTTGGGAAGGGGATATTGTGTGTTGTCTTCATTCAGCATCCTCCATGCCTGGCTCAACAGGTTCAGTAGATTCCCGTCATAGGTGATTGATAGGTCATACCTTGCATATGAGACGAGGCATGAGTAGCAGCACCAGGACACAGTCATGGTCCCCACCTGGCCGAAGGAAGCTATCAGGCATGAAGGCTGTCAGCAGGGACATGTGCCGGTTGGCTTGGGCCACCTCCATCTGCCTCAATTCCATCTCAATTGCCTGGAAGTGGACAGGGAAGAGAGGTCTCAGCCAGGCTGAAAAGAGCCCCAGAACCACCATGCCTTGCTCCACCAGATTCCCAGCTTCTAAGACAAGCCCAGACCAGGAATCTTTCAAATCACCACACAAAGCACTCAAACCCCATTACCAGTTCAGCCACAATTATACCCAGGATGGGACCCCCAACACTCCCTTTTCCTGCCCACCAAATTCCTGACCTTGGCATGGGCCTTTGTCTCAGCAAACTTAATTTTGAAGTCAAAAGTCTCTGGAGGTGGCTGTTGCTGCCTCTCCACAGATGCTTCCTGCTGGTTTGTCAGTTCCCGATTCACATCCTAATAAGAGACAGAGAATGAGGCAGAGCTATGTCATTAGGAAGGCCCAAGGTGATTGTGGGGAAAGCAGGAGGTATGCAGGCACCTGTAGGTGGGCAGTCAACTGGCGGTACTTCTTGATAGTTTGCTGGTAGTCAGCAACTGTCTCCTGGGCTGCTTCCACACGCTTCTGGGCCTCCCGAACCCGCGCACCCGCCATGTCCAGCTGCTCCCGCAGCTCCAGCTCTGTCTCCCGTGCATTCTCCTGCAGCTCATCATTCATTTCATTCATTGCTTCCTGGGAAGCCACAAAGTAGTTAGGGCAAAGGAAAAGCAGGGTCAGGACTGCATGCCAAAATAAGTTCACTCCTCACACACACACGAAGGTGAGGGATCTTATGTCAGTCTCTGCAAATACCTGCATGTCAGAATCAGAAGCTAGGGGTCTGCTCATCTCTTACCAAATCCCCCACAGTCTCTCTCAACTCCCGCACTTTCTCTTCCAGATTCAGGTTCCGGTCTGTCAACATCTCCACCATCTCCTCAGCTCCCAAAGCAGCATCCACCTGTGTTACAGTTAGAGAACAGGGAGAAGGCTGCTGAAAGGTACCTGGAAAGAGGAGGCACCAACAGGAGAGCTGAAGGGAGGGGACTTTAGAAAGGCCTGGGCTCCCCAGACCTGCTCCTTGAGCTCATCAATAGTGCTCTCTGCCTGGGTCAGCTCCTCCTGCAGACGCTCCCGTTGTTGCCTCACGACCTCCAGTTCTTGGTTTTTCTTTTCCATAAGTTTCTGGAGTTTCACATGCTCCTGCTTCTCTGAAGAAGACAGATCCCGCATCCTATGGAGAAGTGGGGAGAAGAACAAGAGTGTATGTAACTGGGCAACAGGCGCTATAATACATTTGAAGGCAGGAGAGTGACTCTGGAGTCAAGGAGTGAGGGTACCCTACCTCACCAGGGCATCCTTTAGGCGGGCATTCTGTTCCTCGAGCTGTTTGAGCTGGTAACTGGATGCAGCCCCATCTGATCCTGGGAAAGACCGTTAACACTTTCAGACATGGCTCCAACCCCACCATTTGGGCCCCAGCAGCTCCTGGCCCCTTACCCTTCTCTTCAATCTCAGCCTTGAGAATCTCCAAGTCAGTGGTGAGCTCATCCACACGTTCCTTCAGTGCCTCCACTTCCTGTTGCAAGGACTCAGCTCGCTCTTCAGCCATCTCCTTGTCCAGAGTGGCCATCTCAATGGCATCAGCAGTGTCAGCCATCTCCTCCATGTAGCGTTCCTTTGCCTCCAGTGCCTCCTTGGCTTCCTGAGGAGGAGTGGAGGTTGGGGTGGAGGGGCCAGCTCAGAAATGCCTCATGCCACACTTTCTCAGGCTGTTCTAGGCTCCAGCTCCGGTCTAGTTTCCAGGACACTTCCTGACCCCCACGTCTCCCCAGCCACCCCTTCATCCTGAGTCCCACCTTCCGTGCTTCCTTGAGACGACGCTGCAGATCTGCCTGCTGCTCCTGCATTTTGCTCTTCCATTCCTGCACCTGCTCCAGCTGGATCTTGTGTTTCTCCAGTTCTTTTAACTTTGCCTTGTCTTCTGCCCGTTTTAGCCGCAGGGTCTCCAGTTTCTCCTCCAGGTCCCGCACCTGGGCCCTCAGCCCCTCCTCCTCCTGCAAAGGAAAGACACTCTCAGTCCACCTCCTCCTCCCCACAAAGACTAAGCTGGAGCAGAAAGGATAAGAATACTGCAAACAATCATTCCAGTCCCAGGGTCAAAAACAAATGCCATACAGACAACTGAGAAGAAACCAGGGCATAGGACATATGGGAAAAGTGTGCAAGAAGGGGAGAGAGAGAAGGGAAGTTTCGTCAGTGGCAGGATACCCACAGGCTTTGTCCCCACCCTTCGAATTCAAGTTCTGAGTATCCCCCAACCCTGGGAAATTTTCAAAACCTGCCAGAGACCACAGTCCCCTTTTTGTCAATTCTAGTTCATTGCAACCTCAGTCCTTACCTTAGAGGGGGAAAGAAGTGGGGGGGCTGCTCCAGGAGAAGTGAGAGCCGGTGTGGGGATGATGGGCGCTGCCAGTGGAGTCTGAGCTGGCGTGCTGGGCTCACTGCTGCTCAGTTCACCTGCTGATGCTGAACCGGAGGGGCCCAGGGAGCTACTGGCCCCGGCCACACCAGTACTGGCTGGGCGGGTAGGCTACTCAGTGGGTAGTGGCAGACCAAAGAGAATAGAGGGCAGGGGTAGTGAGAGAGACAGAATATGAGAATATGGCAAGGGAAAGAGAGACAGAGAAGGAAAAAGCAGAAAAAGGGTATCAAGCACAATGAGAACAGAGAAATGTAGTGAAGGGGAGAGAGAAAATGACACAAAGTCAGAGATAGTGACAAGGACAAGGGGAGGAGGAAGGAAGACAGAGGGAAGGGGTGGAGGGATGGAGAAAGACATAAGATTATCAGGATCCTCCTTTGGCAAAGACCCCACATTCCTCCCAGCTCTGGCACTACCCCCTTACAGCAACATCCCTTACTCCCCAGAACTCCCCTCTGTGACCCACTTGTGATCATTCTAGCATCTTTTAATAATTCTAGTTGTTATCATTCTTTGAGCCTAGGCACTCCTCCCCCAGACAGAAAGAACAGACTGGAGTTTTGTTTACCAACTTTCATGTTCCCAGAAAAGGCTGGTCTTTAAAAGTGAGGTTACCAGGCTCTGTACTCCTACTAGGGGGATACTACCTCCCAGTTCTTTGGGAATCAAACTGATTCTCCCTCCCTTAGTCTATTTCGGGGACCCTAAAGGTAAATGGACCAGGGTGAAAGTTGTACTCCTAGACTCCCTCTTCAAACAGGTTTGGTACCGGCAATCCTTCTGTCATCTCCCTCCCCAGAGACAAAGGCACTATAATAAGGAGACACAACCCAAGCTCCCCTGGGGTTGGAGTGGAAGAGCTGCCCTGAAGGCCCAGGCCCTGGCGTGGATAAGCCTTCCCAGGCTTTCTCTTATAGTGCTGAGCCCTGAAGCACTTCTGGTGGACTGCCAGAGACCACACGCGAGTCACAGACACCCCCCACACACACACCCTGCTTTTCACCTGCCTTCTTAGCCCTGACATTTACACTGTTAAGTTCTTCTTCAAATCCCTTCTAAGTCTTCCCACCCCACCCCCACTGACAAAAATGGTTAAAATGTCCTTCTTCAAGAAACCTTGACTTGACTAACCACAACCACTCTCATCTCTCTTCTGCACTGAGATGTTCCCCTATGAACCAGAAGTCAGGTTCATAAAAGGGGCCCGTAACTACCCTCAGTGCCCCTGACAGCATTGAAAAGAGAATCCAGGACACACTATGATCAACTTTTACTTGTTCAGACACATGCTTACAAACATGCACATGCCTGAAGAGTGTGTGTATGTGTGTGTGCATGCGCACACATTCAGAAGTGGCTTACACAGAGGCTTATTTTTTCTCACCTTGGGCCGCCGAGTTGTGGTCTGGACAGGCCAACAGGAGCCAGAGAAGTAGTCAGGAAAGAAAGGATAATGGCGGAAAGACAGACAGCAAAAGGACAGCAATGAGAGCAGAAGAAATAATAGGAATGGGGTTATGATTAACAACCCCTTCCTCAACTCATACCCTTCCCCCTCTTGTTAATCACCTTATTCCCACTCCAGGAACCCAAAAAACTCCCACTCCCAATGGTTCCTGCCCCAACATTTGCCCAACCATTGCAGACTATATCTGTTCAGCCGCCCTGGAAACCCCAGAAGTCTCCTAGGCTAAGCCACAGGAGACCAAAGGGAGCAGCTGGTAGAGAAGGTCTCCAGAGACCAGTTCTTGTGCCATTAACTTTGAAAACTCCAGCCCAGAGCCAGAGGCCCCGCCCACACACCACTCCCAAGGACTTTCCCAGGTCAGTCCCTTATTTGGGTGCCAGACTCCACAATGGACTCTCTAGAAACACCATTCGACAAGAGCAATGACATGAGCTCAGAAGTGAGTGGTAGGAACCTCACAGAGGGAGATCGGGCCTCCAGGCATCCTTCCTCTCCCTAAGCTCCTTTTCCCCAGGACCAGATCCTGTAGCACTCCCCATCCCTGGGGCAGAGGCTCAGGTGTCAGGACCATGAATATTGCATTAGCCAGAAGCCCAGAGCTCAGCAAAGTAACCCCACCCAGGGAAAAATAAAGGAAAAGGGGGTGGGCAGCGGCATAAAGAAACTACAGCCCCAAACCAAATCCAGAAATCCTTCAGGTTACCACGAAGTGGTAATAGTATGATTAACTCCAAATTCCAAAATAGCATTACTTACTACCCAGTGCCTCACTGCTCTGACAAAAACAAGATATAGCTTGTCCCCTGTTTTTAGGAGACATTTAAGCCCGAGGAGACCAACCCGCAACTCTTCTTTCCATAGGTAAAGCTGCCAGAGCTGTGCATCAAAAACTATTCTAGAGTCCCTAGCCCACCCTGGGAAAGCCCCTTGATACAAACCCTGGTGGTGGAGGCATGCTGAGAGTACAACCAAGAGTCATTCTAGCAAAGACTGGGCCAGATAGGCCTATTAGAGGCATAAAGGCATCTGGGCCTGCTTCCCTAGATTCTCTTACAGGAAACTTTCCCAAAACCAGTTTGCATCAAAAGCAGCCCAAAGCCCAGGCCTGTGAGGCCACTGGAGTACAAGGCCAAGAACAGACTCAAAAGCAGGCAGGCCAGGGAACAAATGCCCAGGGAAATGGGTATGCAGTGACATATACCTATCCCTGCCCCCCACTTTCACCCACCCTCCTCCCCCAACCAGGTAAAAAGATGAAGTCAGTCAGCCCCCACCCCCACCCCAGCAGCCTGCTGCCACCATCGCCTGGCAACCCGGCAGCAAGACCAGAGCAAGCAAGAGTACCTTTCGGGCTGTCGGTGCCTGTCTCATCATTGCAGAAAAGCAAAGAAAACCAGGAGAGGAATGAAAAGAGGGACAGAGGAGGATGGACAAACACACAGAGGAAGGACAGACGAAGGGAGGGAGAGAGAGAGACCGAACAGAGGGAAAGGCGGCGGAGACAGGAGATTAGTGCATCAAATCCCAACAATGCAGCCTCAGCTTCCCAGTATGGTGTTTTCCCAGCTCGAAATGGCTGCGGCTCAGATGCAAAAGCTCCCAAAGGTGCGCAGTGGGGCTCCGCAGGCTCAGGCAGGCACCGGGCGAGGCCGGCCCAGGAGCCGGCCCAGTTCACCAGCTTAGGTTGATGGCAGCCTCAGTGGCCGCAGAATCAGCTCCGCCTGACGTCATGCCCCCACCCTCCTCATCTCCATGGGGGTGGAGCTACTGATTCTTGGTCACCTAGCAACCGCCTGGCTCTGCTGGCTCCTCCTCCTCCTCATGACAGGACAAAGTACTGCGCAGAGCCTGCTCTGCTTCTGCCTCCAAAGAACAGGTTCTGGCTCCTCCCTCCTCTTCTCTGCCCCCAATCCCACCCTCAAGAGTTTGCTCCAAGAAACTGGGCTGGGGCCATCCCAGAAATGGTACCCTCTGGGGCCAGGGCCTCACTGCTCCATTACTCTCTCATACTCACACTCCCCTCTGCACACAACCCTATCAATTCCACTTCTGTTTCTTCCATACATTGACAACGCCCTTTGGTTGTTCATCAAGCACATACAACCAGAGTACCCCTCCTGTGACAGCATCAGCTTTGGGGGGAACACAGTGAAATTAAGAAACCCTGGGGAACACTGAGCAGCAGTTCTGATAACAGTGTTTGGCTCCTCTCCCAACTCTCCCCTGGCTGACGGCAGGTTAATGCCTGTCTATAAGTGTTTTCAGAAAGGACTGAGCACCTGCAGAGAGATCTGGTTGTCTTCTGTGCTCTCGCTCAAAGTTCCTTTTTTGTTCTGATAACTCCCTGTTGCATATAGGATGAGAGCAGGGGCCCTTGGGCTAAGTGATCTGCTATGAGAGAACCAATGGAGAGGAAGGCCTGCTCAGGGAGTTGGGGGGGACTTGACTACTTGGCTGACACTTTGCACCATGAGCAAAGAAGGCACTGTATGCCAGCACAGGCAGCCTAGGCTGGACTTTGCCACATTTCCCCAGGCAGCTACCAAGACCCCAGGTTTGGGGCATGGCCCAGGCCCCACCCTGGATAAGGTCAGGCTGTAAGCAGAACTCTTCCATAGGTAACAGACTGCAGGTCCATGCTCTTCTCTATTCAGGGGCCTGTTGTGAGATGGGAACCCCAACCAGGAGACAATAATCAAGAGCAGAAGCCAAGTTTTTATAACTTTGAAGTGGGTCCCAGCATTCATTAAAGCATTATTTTCCTCTTACCTCCACATTCCCACCCAAGTCAAGACCCCAAAGCAAGTAATGTTATGTGATTTCTTCCCTGGCAAGATTCCAAAGTGAGAACACAACACCAACTAGGAGTGGGAAAGATGTATTCCTCTCCCCTTCTAATACCCCAATCCCATGCAAGGTCAAACAGGCCTGAGACAGGTTGGCAATAAGGAAATCACAGAATCATACATACAGCACAGTATGTACAAATCAGACAGGCACATGCAAGTCACAGACAGCTTGGGCACAGACAGGCCCAAGGCAGGGCTGGTGTGAGGAAGTCATGGCAGCGACTTAAGAGTTTAGAAGAGTTATGGGCTCGCACAGTTGTGCCCCACTCCAGTGATGGCTGGTGGAAGGCTGCAAGGGGTTGCAGAGGCCCCACACCAGAGGAAGAGGCAGAGAAAGACGGAGGAGAGCAAGGTGGGCATTCATGGCAGTGCCCATCCAGAGGCAGGCACACGAAGACTCTCAGGCTCCCCAACATGGCACTGTTCTTGTGCTCTGTTTCCTAATCTCCTGCCTCCTTGCCCAACCACCTCACATGGTACTTTCCCCACCTCCAACCCCCCCAGTCTCTCCTCCCTCTGCCCTGGAGCTTGGGCTAAATGAGAACCCCTGAGAACCCCTGTTACTAACCCCTGTAAGTAAGAACTCTATTCCATGCTACTGCTATTAACAGTCAAATGCCTGGAGTCCTGAAGCAGTGATGGGGGTGGGGTATAGGGGCTGAGGGACCTACTTGATTAGTTCTACCTGTGCCTGGACACTGAACCTGATCTCCTTGCACCCCTCAAAAAACTCTGAAAGCCAAGGCCACCATTTCCTCTGGCCATCCCAGCCTCATGGTCACACACACATGCATGCAGCAGCCCAAGTACATGCAAGACAGCTGGGGAGGGGGCTCATGGCCCTCACCCACCCAGGCACAAACAGTAAACACACCACCTTCTTAGGCTTCAGTCCCCGCTGCATGAGGAGTAGGAAAGGGCAGAGTTAGAGATGTCACACTGTGCTAGCTGGCCAGACATCCTGGGTGCAGGCATTAAGACCAATTTAGGCATACACAAAGGCAAGAGTCACTGCAAATCCCTGTGTAAGTTAGATGAGGGGTCACTCAAGGACAAGTTTCTAGGATATCCACATCCTTGCCCAAAGAAGCTGCAGTCCACAGTTCCACCTCACATACCCTGCACAGAGTAACAGTAACCTGTTTTAGCAAACAGGCTTAAACAGGTAGCAAAGGGCCAGCTCCTAACCATTCATTTGTGAAAAGGAGCACTTTTCCTCTTAGTTTCTACATTACCCACACCCTCCGATCCTTTAGATCTTGGCAGCCATGGACATCAAAAAGTGGGAAGTTGGTAACGTTACTAGGATCAGACTTGTCCTTCCTGTCAATCCAGGCCTCAGTCCCATTTGATCCTGAACTTTTGGGTCCCAGTTTTTCCCTACCACCACCTTACTCCACTCCTAAAACAGAAAATTATACCAGGAAGCTTTCTTCTCAGAGAGGTTAAGAGACTGGATAACTAATTCACCTTACTCACCTATTGCTTCTACCTGCCTAACATTTGGCCTCCTTCCTCTTTATTATTCTCCACTCCCATCCACAATCACTTACCAGCTTACTGGTCTTTGCGGTTGAGTCAGTTCCCTCTGCAGAAAGCAAACAGAAACAAAGTGTGTGTGTGTGTGTGTGTGTGTGTAGAGGGATGGAGGCAGAGAACATCATGTCAGAGTAGAGGAGCTATAACAAATACACAGTAGAAATGGAAGTTCTCAGGATCCACTGTGGCCCCATGAGAAGACAACTGAAGTGGGTGGTCGTTACCTCTTTTGAGGACCTTTGAGGCAGAAGAGTCAGGTGTCTCTGGGGAAGTAGTATCTGCTCCATCTTCAAATACCTGGATCTGAAGCCACAGAAAAGACTCAATATAGCCAGACCAAGGATGGCTATATTATGGACACCTCCCCAGGCCCCAAGCAAGCCTGGGTTACAGGGCAGCTCCTCTAAGAATAGATCACCAATTTTCCCTCCCCTATTACCTTCCACTTTCCCAACCACAGATTTATGATCATAGCCAGGAAAATGTAGCACCAACACACCAGCTGCACATGCAACAGAGCATGTGCACATGTAAACATGTGTGCATACCCAAGCGCACACATATACCCACACACAGAAGCAGGATGTGAGTACCTGGGACTGGCGCACAAAGATGCCATGCCCTTCATCACAAGTGAAGTATTTCCTGCCTTGGACAGTTCCATCATTCTTGCCTTTTGCTTCATCCAAGATCACGCCTACCCACTTGCCAGTGGCAAAGAGTGTGGCTCCAACATAGGCCACAGTGCCTCGGTGGCCTTTACCAATCACTTCCACACGGGAGCCCACTCGCAGAGGCCGGGCACTTGCCTCGGCACTCATCCTGCTGCCGCTGGGTGTCTGAAAGAAAGATATATGCAAACATACACAGTTAAAGGTCTCAGGTCAAGGGTGTCATCCTAATGCATAAGACTCACCATCCTGGACTGAAAAGAACCAGAAGTCACTTCCCAAAGCCCCACTCTCAGGGTACAGTGGACTTCCAAATGCCTTATTGAAAAATGTCAGAGATATGTTCTTCCAAGATTTCTCCAAACTCTTCTGGAATCTCCCAGAATTTTTAAGAGTTTATATTTAAATTTTATAACAAATCAGAATTCATTGATACATCTGTGAATGTCACCACATGGCTGTTTTCTCAGGAGCACCACCCCCAAGGAGGGGAAGAAAGCTCAAGAAAATACCTCAGTTTAGATGAGGCTCCCCACAACCCAATGCTCTGATTCAGGAGCCTGAGCAAAGAAGGCAATTCAGTAGGTGACCCCACAGAATCCTGTTCCCATCCCCACTGTCACTGTCTTCCCTGTGGTTGAAATCACTCTTTTACATCTTTCTCTTTCAGAGATATACAATGTGCCTCCTCCCACAACTTAAATCGCCACCATTCCTTCCCAACCTGACTCCCCTGACCACCAACCACACACCCACCTTAACATTCCTTGATGCCTCACCACATTTACTCCCTTCAACCATTTACTCCCTTCTTCCTGCCCTGAGCCCTGTTCTATCAACTCTGTATCTCTCAAGCTCTGGAGGTCCTTCCTCCATACTGTGTTGCTAAAAAAAGAAAACCAAAGGCCAGGTAAGTCAGATTTGTCTCATCACCTGTCCACTAGACTCTGCCCTGAGGTCTAAGTGGATAGTTTATCACCCCATGGATGTACAGCGCAAGGAATACACTAAAAATTGTCCTTGGGAAGTTCTCAGTTTGGCATAACTGTGATGAGGAGACATAACATGAAATTAGGTCTTAAATAGGTCTATGGCTTAAAAGAATATCACACCTAAACCATTTTTAGCAATAGCAGCTCCATGAACCAGGGACCTTGCAGCAAACAGATGAAAAAGGCATAAATAAGTGACACCATGGTCCTAAATTTTCCACAGGGCTCCCTTCTGATGGCCCCACTTGGCTTTAAAAGGGAGCTCTGCCAAAGCCTGTCCCTCCCTAACTCCCTTCCCCAAAGTGTTCATCTAGGAAGATGAGGATACAGCTCCCCAGGGCTACAGGACCCTAAATAGTACCTGGAACAGCAGGATGATTCTCATGGATCTGACAATAAAAGGAACTTACAGTGACATCAGGGCTGGCCCCAAACTCAGAGACTTCCCTTAACCTCCCAACCCTCATAAGAGCTCAGAACCAGGTGGATACAACAGTGGATATGGATTCAAAATCAGCCAGAAGAGAGAGAAAGCAAGTAACAAAGCAGCTCTCATGAAAGGCTTTTTTCTAAGGCCATTCCAAACCACCGACTCCATTCAGAGTTTCCAAGATAGTCTAAGCCCCCTGAGGAACCTCTGGCCTGAGGTCCAATTAGAGCCAAAGGTTGGGCCTCACCAGCTCCCACTTAGGGCCCAACTCTAGAAGGGGAAGCCTATTCAGCCTAACACCATCAGGGCTTTGAGTGGCCCTCCAGCCTGTCTCCCCAACCCCCATAGAAATGATGTCCACAGGCACACAGGCCTTCTCCAGCATCCCTCCCAGGGTCATCCCAGATCAGGGCCACTTACCCGGCTATACACGTGCCTCTTGCTCTGGGCCATGTCGCTCACTGAGCCTCTACCCCCTCCCCCAGCTGGCCAAAGACAGAGAAAAGGCAGAAACCTAGGTAGGAGGGTCAGGGCTGCAGGCCCTCATGGACAGACATAGAAGCCGTCAGGCATGGCCCTCCCCAGTCCATGGACTTCACTCGGTGGCCTACCAGGGTAGGGATGGGGGCAGAAATGGGGACTATGGAGCAAGTCCCCTCTGCTGCCTGAGGATTCTTGAACCCAGAGACACCGAATCCTGCTTGCCAGCTGATGAGTCTCACTCTGCGCTAGTGCTGCTCTAGACTTGTCAGGAAAGGCGATATCCTCTGGGTCCTAGTGTCCCCCTACTTCACCTGGGCCAGATGAGAGGGGCCAGGACTAGGGGGCTAGGCCCATACCACAGACCCTCAGCACTCACCTCTAGTGTAAGCTACCCTAGGGCTGGGATGACAGCCCTAATGGTTCCACAGTACTGGTACCCCTGTGTCCCTAACTGCCACCTTCTCCCCAGCAGGATATGAGATTCAGCTAGCCCACAAACATCAAGTGACACTTCAAAATGATTAGCTGCTAAGGCCTCCATACAGCTAAAGATGAGTCTCTCAGGCCTCTTTCTTTTTTTTTTTTAAAGATTTATTTATTTATGCATACAAGAACTGGGGTACAGGCCAGAGATGAGGAGGTGAGAGGATTCACCAGAGACAGAGTGGGGAGCTGAATAGGCAGACTGACTGAAGTACACTGCTGAGGGGAGCAGCGGGCTACACAGGAGAGGTCTGCTGCGTCTCAGGCCTCTTTCTAGGGCTCTCCCCACTCCTCCCCCACCCCCCACCACCTCTTTCTAAACTCTGGATTCCAGGTCCAAACCCATGTGATTAGGGTCTGGATTTCAATATCCCACTGGGTCAGAGGAGCCAGGCCTGTCCAATACACAGCAACAGAAGGGCAGTAATAGAGGTCACTTCACACAAACAACACACAGAAAAGAAAGTCAAATATTCCAGTTTCCCCCATGCTGGCAACAGTTACCACAGTCACTCTTCCTTCTACTTGTTACAAAAGGAAAAGTCTCTGAACCCCAAGAGTATCAAGTTCAATAGTGGCCAGAAGCAGAGAGCTCCACTTTCCCGTGCACCACAAGATCCAGTCCATCTTAGCCACCTGCCCCTGGTACTCTTGGCCTTGGCTCCCAGGTATCTCCTTAATAGAAACAATGAAATGACTTATTTTCTACAATTCTGTGTTTTACAATATTTCTTTAACAACCATTGCATTTTATATAAATTATAATTTATATAAATTTGTATTATATTTTATAATTTAAAATGTTTATTAAGGGCCTCCCTGGTGGCTCAGGGGGTTAACCACCGCACTATGAAGCAATCCACAGCCTC